ACAGAGACTTTTATTGTAGAGTAAGACTAGCTTAAGAGACGACCTTATATAATTTTATGTGGGATTTATTCTGTAATTCCTTGCTTGAGTAATAAAAGTGACTTTTCAAACCGCAAAGTCATCTTATCTCTCCATTTAAGCTTGCTTCCCTCAGTCGCGGTGTCGTGCATATCGGTGCACATTTCTTCTCGTCGTTTCGTGCCCTACAATTGCTTCCAGTCTGCAACTCTCTTCCTTCGGCAAGAGGGTTGCTACTCAGAACGCCAGCCAATCTACAGCAGAGTTGCCCCACAGTACAGATAGCAATTCGAGTCTGTCACACTTTCTGGCAAGGCGACTGCAAGCGTTCGGGCCGATGTCTGCTTGTGTAATTGGCTACCTGAAAGTATTCCTCTTCACTTTTTGCCTACTCTGAAGATACGAAATAAATGCAAACAAATGTCTCGAAAATCGCTTCCGGAAAACATCTAATTGAATACAAGTTTGTCTGTTTATGGGTCTTATTCATGCATAGATGCATGCGCGTGTGTGTTTTTGCGCGTATTTTGCAGAAATAGAGAGAGAAAAGTGTTTCTCTGACCTTAAGAACCTTACATGTACTGCAACCTGTGAATTCTAGGCCCCCGTGACCCGGCCATTAACTAATTGCATTGGGCTCGAACTTCTCCGAGGGTATGGAAGAGGTCATGTTAGGCTAGAAGTGAGATTATGTTAAAACAAATTCCTCCTATTTCTGAGGCTAATAGAGAAATCTAGAAATCCCTGGCACATTAATCGGCCTTGAGTATCCTAATTTAGTTTCCATGATAGTCACAATGGCTATTATTGTTCTCAATTCATGCCATGAATCAGTTTTAGTCATTCTAGCAAGAAAAGTAGTTGCTGCTTTTGGTCCACCTGAAATCTGTTTTAGCTTCACTTACAGAAAGACTCGAATATTGACAACGCCAAAGGATGTTGTTCTTTTAAGGGTAGCATCGGCTCGTAAGGGAGCGCCACAACAGGGCTACTCCATTTCGGATGCCCCATCTTCCCATGTTTGCGCAAGTGCAGGAGTTCTTTCAAACTACTTTTTACCTCCTGCCCTTGAAGATTGGGTAGTGCCATTATGCTTGTTATGTTGGATTAAAATAATGCCTCCGCAGGAAAAATATTGCAAGAATGAAGGCAGACTGTGACAGGGATTTAACCAACGAATATAGAACGAGGTGATGGGGAAGCATTTTTTCCCTTGAAATACAAAGAATGCAATTTTCTGGTATATTTTGAAAAATTATGCATCGCGCGTATAAAGTTAGACAATGGTTCTAGAGATTCATTTGCTAAAGTATCCTATCTTATATTTATAAGGCTAGATCTTCTCATCAAGTTTTATCACGAAATTCATCTGAAGAACCATGCAAGTAGACCGGCTCCCAACAACTTGGATGGATGAAAGCTGAGAGGGAAACTCATCTTTATTTTGGCTACAAAGTATTCGTCGTTAAGAATCTAACCACAACTTGATATGGTAAAGAATGTTTTCATCAGAGCACAAAAATTGGAAAAACAAATATTTCGCATTACTTGGCGGTCCTCAAAACCAGAGCTTGCCACCCTTGAACTTATATTTACTTAAGTATTAGAGATTCTGTTAAATTACTTTTTTCTAGTATCATTCAATGTATTTTGGAATGTATCTGGCAGCTGCCTACAGATTTTGTCTTATCTCCAGCATCACTCTTCTACACTTTTGGACAAGTAACTCCAACTCTACTTTTTCCATTAGTAGTATATAAAATCATGTGTAAAAGTTGGTCAAATAATTTTTTGAGTCAAAAAAAAGTGGCCATGTAATTCGAAAACCAACTTAATTACAAGAAATATGAATTTTAGTACCCAAATTCGTGATATAACGTCAAACAATGCTGGGAGAATAGTTGGAGGACAATTCAGAAATGCATGGTACGTGACTAGATCCTAAGTCTAGCATCACAGCAGACCCCATGGGCATCCTTTTAGAGTACTAACAAACGTCCACCAAATCCTAATCCTAATTATGCTTGGCGCAAAGTTGCCAAATGGTACCAATGCAGAATGCACTCTGAAACGCCGGTAAAAGTGATTAAATAAATTGCTCCTTCAGAATGACAATGAGCAGAGGTTGTTTTCTTCCCGAAAGTAAAGTGAAGCAATGAAATCTCTCAAGCCGGAGGCGTGAATACCAAAATATGAATAAAAACTGGTTTCCGAAGAATTCCTTCATAAAATATCGTGGCATGACTCTCCATTTCGACGGGAAATTTGGCTGGAAGGAATTCGTAATGTGGTCTCCCTGGAAACCGAAGGATGATTGTCGCGTAAGGAAGACTGCGAATTGTGCCCAGAAGTCCTCGACTCACCGTCTTGCGACCCCGAAGAAACTGTGCTAAGCTTTCGTCTGTCCTCTCCATGACAGACATCATCAGAGCAAGATACCGTGCTTTACAAAATGGAGCAAAAATATACAAAAACCCGAGAAAAGGTGGCTGGCTGTAACCATAGTATCTTCTATTATACCCCTAAAACCGCGATCTTAACGAGGCCTTCCCCGATTTGGTTGACTACTTCAACCTTACTCTAAATGCTTGCAATGAGTGAAGTTAACTTCCCGAACAGGAAATACGTTCGCTGGCATTTGCCCTCGGCACATCAATCCGGACCTTTGTCTCTGCCTATAACTTCACGTGCACAAAGCAGAATGCTTTTTTGTGTACCTTTTGACCTAAAAATAAGTTGGCGAGCAAATATTTTTGTTTCTTCCTGGAAATCTCTCACTCCATTGTTGCTGGTCTTTAGTTTTCTATTATCATCCTCCTCAATATTTTGTAATAGCAGTGTAACTTTATAGCTAGAATTGCATGTTAAAGGTGTGATTAAACAAAGACTAAAAACTTTGGCCCAGGTTGCTATTGTATAAATGCTATTATAGTCCAAAATATGTCGTGGAGGAGGGGAGACGATGGGATAGATCATGTATAGATCAATATGAATCCACATAATATTTTCCCATCCAGACAGCTCTCCATTAATAGTTGCTAATTATATGACTGGGAGTCATAGAAATTACCATGACAGCTGAGAGAGAAGAGTCAAACATAGAGGGTTGATAGGGAAAATTGTTTTGATGTGGCTATTTAAAGCGTTTTGTTATTCCAGGCCCTCAAGAAGGCATTTTCACTGCTGAGGTGGGAGTTGATTGCTCGCGTGATCTGACAATCCAGGCTCTGTATATTGCAGAGCTGATACCGATCGCTTTGTAGGTTTTCTGAGCTGAGCTTTGTGGCGAAAAATAATTTCGGGAAAATGGACTCAATCCGTCGCGAATTTCATTGAGGCTGACAATATATAAATATTTATGTGTTTCGTCGTTATTAACAATCTAGATTCGCATCTAACACGAGCTATTATTTTTTCTTCTTTGATAGCGAATCTGTCTAAACTGAATTTAAGAAAAGGCTTGCTTATTTCCCTAAATTTTATTCTTCTTAAAGTCGACACTGGCACACCTTCATGACAAACAGTTTCTTGATAGCAGAGATGAAAACTGACCCTAACAACAGATTCGGTGGCAAATCAAGTTTAATCGAAAAATAACACGTTTGTCTATCGGTACAAAATTCCAGACCAATTATATAAATTGAGAGTGATTTGTTTCGCTTTAATAGTCATAATTTAGATGCGGTTAGTGTCGTATCGCTTAAGAAAAGCATGTATATCTCTTGACCCATGTGTCGGTAGTTCGAATCCCATTGAGAATGTCGATAGGAAAATGGTACAAATTCGAACATTTTCTCCAATCTGAAGTTGGCGACAGCCTTCGCTAATGCATAGCGAAGCCGCCACAATGAGCCATAGTGCCGGTTGTTGTGAAATTATATATTTATTGGCTTTGCTATATCTCCTCCGAATTTTAAGTACAGATACTGCAGTTTAGTCAGCTGCTGACTACTCAGCCAGTAGTTAGGCGCCGCCAATTTGGCCAAATGTCCAGTCCGTCTAGGCTTGGTCCTCAGTTCAAATGATATCAAGATTCAGGCCTGCATTGTCTCAATGGAATGCGTATATCCTCGGACTGACACACCGAGCACCAGTCATACAGATCCCATCTCCGATGGACTTTGAGCCAGTTGGCCAGTCA